GTACGTGGCAACATCACCCTGAACTCAATCGACAAATAGAAGAGTCAAGACAGAATAAAGTTATAAGAACAGAGGATCTGGGAGGTCAGTCTATGATCAAAACAATTATAGTGTGAAAGAAGGTAAACACAGAGGAACAGAAATCCAGATGGTGGGAAGGTGAGGTAGATTACATAATAAAATATACTGTCTTAAATGGAGGGAAGAATTAATGGAATATAAGGTAACCACAACAATGGGGCTGGGGTGGGGGGTTTAGTTCGGGTGTTGGGGAGGGCAATACAAGAAGGGGGAGGAGGTGGAAGAACAACATAGATATGGGAACACTGAGACAGGTTTGCATGTCCTAAGTGGGACAGAGGTAAATAGTGATGCATGCTTGACCTTGGAACAATAGGGCTCTGGGATACAGGGATCTAGGTATAGCTTGAAGAGGGGAAATAACACTAAAATGCTTGACGGTCTTATGAATATTAGTTTCCCTTGCCTACCATTGTAAAATAGACACTTGAGTGGGATAGAAAGGAATGTTGGGGAACATGATTAGAGATAACTTGCAAGCCCGTCTTCAGCCTATAACTGATTATAATATCTAAAAGGGGTTCTAGAACTTGCCCATTGAAATAGGCCTCTTGCAAAGCCTTTACAGAGTATAGGACCTTAGGTGGAATCCTGTCTAGAGCCTTCTGAGGTGGGACATTCCCACTAGAAAGGACAAGCAGACCAGCCTGGAACAGCTACAGTGACAGAAGATAACATCTTCAAAGAAAGGTCATCAGGAAAAACCCAAAACAAAAATGTCAGCGTGACTGGCTACTATAAGAATAATCAAGCTGTTCGCCAGGAAGCCATCAAGGCAAGCAATCAAGTTTCTTCAGGACAAACTCCCCTCTCAGACTGAAACTCAAAGGGAACACACAAACAGGCATGTAAACTTGCTGGCGACCACATTGGTCTACTGGTGAGTGGAAGAGGGGGAAAGGCAGTAATGAAGAAATGGGCTGAGTTCAGTCACAGTCCATTGACTCCCATTGACCTGGAGATGAGAGAGAGAAAAGGAAGGGCTAGTTGGTCCAAGTGTGGTGAGATCTGAGGACACTTGAGCCCATGGACAAGGACATAGCCACAGAGGGCTAGAGCTGAGAGTGAAGCACCCAGCTGATATGAAGTGAGGGGAGAAGCACAAGAACACCCAAACTTGCAGACAATACCCATTTGACCTAGCCTCGAGGGTTCAATAATCAGAACTCGACTAGAGAAAGATTAAAAAAAAAAAATTTTTTTTTAAATAAAGGAAACAAGGGTAAATTGCTACAATTTGATGAACTTGACCTATAGTCAGAGAGATAGTTACTCTAAATATCAACAGAGAGGGAAAGAGTCTTCACACCAAGTATCAATGCTATCCCCTCTGTACACAAGGTAAATAGGGACGGGAAACTTAGACATTGGCTACCTACAATGAGAGGGCAATAAAGGCATGAAGTGACTGGCTTATAATGTTTCAGAGGGAGTTCAGTTTAAGACTAAGGGGGCGGGAGGGAGAAAGTGTCACCACTGAATAGTTTTCATCTTGTCTAGATGGGTCTGGTGAAAGGATATGGGGATAAGATTTGTATGACTCAATAGTGAATAATTGCTATCATGACTAATTGTGACTGTCACAATTGTAAAGGTACAAGTTCTGTAACAAAAACAAGAGAGTGGTTAGTCTTAGTCCAGAAACAGAGGACCCTAGGACCATTAAGGGAGAAGAGCACAAGTAGAATGCGGGACCTTATCCAGAGAAGCAGCAACTCCAGAGATAGAAGCAGAAATGGAGTCATGGAGAGGGGGAGCAGCTGAGGACTCTAGATTCATGAGAAGAGAGGGACTAAGAGCTAGTGGCCAGGAGGCAGACTTGCAGAATGTGCCCTTTGGAGGTGTAAATTATTATATATACCTGAGTGTTTTTTGTTTGTTTTAAAAAAGTTAAAGTGAATAGAGAGAAATACTGTTAACTGATGGTACATGAAGGGGATTATAATCATTGTAATGAAACAAAGTGTATGATTTGTTGAATGTAAAACTGACAATCTGCTCTTAAACTTTCACTCAATCCACAATAAAAACCTTTAAAAAAAAAAAAGACTTACTGATGAAGATCAAAATCCACAGCTTTCAGTTATGGGTTGCACCTCAGTGTAAAGAAAATAAAAATCCTCACCAGTGGACCAATAAATAACATCCTGATAAATGAAGAAAAGATTGAAGTTGCCAAAGCCTTTGTTTTTCTTGGATCCACCATCAACACTCATGGAAGCCATAGTCAAGAAATCAAACCACATATTGCATTAAGCAAATCTTCTGTACAAGGCCTCTTTAAAGTGTTGAAGAGCAAAGATGTCAGATTGAGGACTAAGGTCCATGTGACCCAAACCTTGATATTTTCAAAAGCTTTATATGCATATGAAAGTTGGACAATGAATAAGAAAGACTGTAGATGAATTGATGCATTTGAGTTATGGTATTGGAGGAAAATATTAAAAGTACCATGGACTACCAAAAGAACAAACAAATCTGTGTTGGAAGAAGTACAGCCAGAATGCTCCTTAGAAGCCAGAATGGTGAGACTTCCTTTGTCATAATTTGGACATTTTATTAGGTAGGACCAGTCCCTAGACAAGGACATAATGCTTGGTAAAATGGAGTGCAAAAAAGAGGAAGACCCCGCCCCCCACACACAATGAACTAGTACAGTGGCAGCAACAGTGGACTCAGGTGTAACAACAGTTGTGAGGATGGCACAGGGCTGGGCAGTGTTTCATTTTGTTGAGCATAAAGTCGCTATGAGTCAGAGCTGACTTGACTGCATGTGAGAACATCAACAATAAAAGGAGCAAGAGGTTCTCCTATCAGAGTACTGCTAACTACTGGTTAGGGGATAGATAGCTGATAGATAGCTTAGATGATGATGAGGGCAATATACAAGGAGGGGGAGGGCAATACATAAGAAGAGGGAGGGGAGGCAGATGAATAAGGAAAATAAGGGAAGACTTAGGGAGGTATGTATCGGCTAAATGAGATAGAAGTAAATAGTGATGTATGATCAACCTTGGAAAAACAGGACTCTGTGATACAGGGATTGACACATAGTCTGAACGGGTGAAGGAGGGGAAATAATGTTAAGGTACTTAACTGTCTTGTGGATATTGGTTTCCTGCCTAATATTGTAAAATAGACATTTACCCATAGCGACCCTGTACAGGGTTTCCGAGGGTGTAAATCTTTACAGGAGTAGAAAGCCTCATCTTTCTCCCGCGGAGCGGCTGGTAGTTTCGAACCGCTGACCTTAAGGTTCGCAGCCCCATTCGTAACCACTACGCTACCAGAGCGCCTTATTTAAGGAGCTAGAAAGGAATATTAAGCAAAATGATCACAGAAAGCTTGTAAGCCCATCTTCAGCTGATTTGATTAAATTAACTAAAAGGGATACTAAAATTTCCCCAGGAAATGGGCTTCTTGTTAAGCCTTTGTGGTGTAGGGGACCTTAGGTGGAATCCTGAGCCTCTCCCAGAACCTTCTGTGGTGGAACATCCTCACTTGAAAGGATATGCAGACCAACCCAGAGCAGCTAAAAGAACAGAAGAAGATATTTCTTGAAAGAAAGAGCAGCAGGAAAGAAAGAAAGCAGAGTGTTTGGCTGTTACAGAATCAAGCAAACTTTTCTCCTGGGAGCCATCAAGGCAAGAAAAGTCAGCCTATCATGGTAAAACCCTTCCAAGACTCAAAGGGAATATATGAGCAGGCTTATAAGCTCACTGGTGACCGCCCTGATCTACTTGTGAATGGAAGTGGAGGAAATGAAGACATGGGCTGAGTTTGGCCATGTTCCATAGACACCCACCAACCTTGAGATAAGAGAAAGAAGAGGAAGAAGGGCTAGCTGGTCTGAAGTTTAGGGAGATTTATGAACTCCTGAGCCCGTGGTCACTGGGGGCTAGAATTGAGAGTGAAGGGGCCAACTGGTCTGAATTGGGGTGGTGGGGGGGAAGCATGTGAGAGCACCAAAACTTGCAGAAGGTACACATTTGACTAGCTTGGATGGCTTGTTGATCATAACTTAACTAGAGGAAGATAAAGAAGTTTGATATAAGGAGCGAGCATAAATTTCTACAATTTGATGAATTATGAGGATGGTTCAGGACCAGGCCGTATTTCATTCTATTGTGCATAGGGTTGCTGTGAGTTGGAGCTGACTCGATGACACCTAACAGCAAATGCTAAGAAACAAATAAAGTAAACCAGGGCAGAGCTGGGCACTGTTGGGTGACTGGAGAGTTGAAAAGAGATGGCAGCAGGTGACACTGGAGTGAAGCTCTAAAGGACAAGATGCCAGTGATGAGGGCTCTCTGGAAAACTCTGTCTTCTTATCCTGTGAATGACTTCACTCTGGTCACTGAGAGACTTGGACAGTGGTTGGCCCAGCCTCAGCAGCACACCAGGCTTTATAGTTGTTGATCTGCACCTTGGTTTCCTTCAGCCACCACCTCCCATTCAAATGCTGTTTAGAAATCCTTTTGTATATTGTTGTTGTTGGCATTAAGTACTGTCATGTTGGTTCCGACTCAGCAACCCTGTATAGGGTTTCTGAGGAGCAACTGGTGGGTTTGAACCGCCAACCTTGCAGTTTACAGTCCAGTGCACCTCATGGAGAATCACTGCCCATCTGTCAGTGGAGGCTTATGTGTTGCTGTGATGCTCCACAGGTTTCAGCAAATCTTCCAGACTAAGACAGACTAGAAAGGAAGACCTGGTGATCTGCTTCCAGTCTAACCTGCCACAGGGGCAGGCAGTGTTTCATTCTGTTGTACCTGAGGTCACCTTAGATTTTTTCCCACTGCCTTTGAGAGTAGATTCTATCGAATGCTGGAGCAGATGACTAGTGTTCATGGTCAAGCATTGGGTTCTTCTGGCAAATAATAATGTGATGCTGACTGCTATGTTCTTGTTTATTACAGCCCCAGCTCCCAAAAGACAGAAATGTGACCACTGGACTCCATGTCCTCCCAAAACCTATGCCTATCAGTTACTCAGCGGGGGTGGCAGGGAGAAGTATGCCAAAATCTGCTTTGAGGATGAGCTGTAAGTGTCCATTTAATAAAAAAAAGGGGGGGGGGTATTGTTATTTGATTCTTTCCCATTCATTGAGAATTATGAAGCAGCAAGTCCGTCAACAGGAGGGAAACGCGTCTCCTTGGTCACAGGCAAAAAGTGGAGAGCAGAGCGCTCTAGAGAAAACTAATGGTATACTCTGTTCACTGGGGAAGAATGCTAATTATCTCTAATGCTGTCATGTGTCCCTGGGTTCAAAGGTTTTATAGTTTCACTTGACAGCAGTTAGAACAGGCCTTTCTTAGCTTATGTTTCACTGTTGAATTTGTGATCTCATTCTACAGCATCGTTTTTGTGTTTCTTGTATTGTCAGTTGCCAGGGCATTGGCTTTGACTCATGGCGACCTCATGTATATGTAACAGAAGGAGGCGGTGCCTAGTCCTGTGCCATCTTCATAATGGTTGGCATGTTTGAGCCTATTGATGTGTGTCTTGTGTCCTGTTTGAGAATCTCTCCTGTGTTTGCTGACCTTATACTTTATCAAACACGGTATCTTTTTGTACCTATTGGTCTTTCCTGATGACATGTTCAAAGAGGACAAGACAAAGTCTTGCAATCCTTGCTTCTAAGAAGCAATTTTATTGTATTTATTTGAAGATTAAATTCTGCCAATCCATGTTATATTTAATATTCTTCCCTAACACCACAGTTCAATTACATCAATTCTGTTGTAGCAGCAATCAAGAAATCAAATGATAAATTGATTTGGGCAAATCTGCTAAAAAATTTTTGTAAATTTTTTTTTTTTAATCCTAAATGTCACTTTGATGATCAAGGTGTGCCTGACCCAAGCCATAGTCTTTTCAGTTGTCTCATACAATCAAAGAAACACCAAAAGTCAGCAGATGCAACTCTCCTTCCCTCTTGCTCTGTGGTCCTCACCCACACACATTGAAGCAGGAGTTGTTTTTCTTGTAGTCCACACATCTGCTTGTCTAGATTCCATGCAACTATTGCATGATTGCCTAAATCCAGGGCTTACAACTGTCATACTCCTGGCTTATGGACGCCTAGGCAATTCAGTGACTAGTACAGATGAGAAAAAGTATAAACTGTTTCTTATAATGAATAGCAAGTTTTTCGTCATTACCATACCCCTTTTTTGAACTCTGGATGTATGTCCCTTTGTGATTATTAGTTGGTTTACTGCCCACAACACTCAGCATTGCTTTTTTGACATTTACCTTCCTCTTTGTTTTCATAATGGAGACCTGGTGTGGCGCTGTGGGTTAATGCGCTGGACTGCAAAGTCAGTATGAACCACAAGGTCAACAGTTCAAGCTTCCCAGTCACTCCTCAGAAACTCTGTACAGGATCGCTATGGGTCAGAACCATCTCAGTGACACTTAACAACAAACAACCTATTCTCATTAGTTTGTCTGTGTACTTGTCCTCCTAAGGAGTTGGTAGGATACTCAGATCATGAACTGTCTTTTCAACTTTGCACACCTATTTTAGAGTAACACTTTTTCATAATAATGGTCAGTTTCGCCATTTGTCCTGGAGTCAATTCCAACTCATGGTAATTGACTTTTTCCTCTTTGATCTTCCTATTGTTGATATCTAACTTTATAGTGTTTTGATCTGAGATAATACTTTGGAGTATTTTGATGTTTTAAATTTACTGTTTTAAGTTTGCTTTGTGGTCTGACATATGGTTCTCTATTCTGAAGAATGTTCCATGTGTACTGGACAAGAATTTATATTGTGCTGTTGTTACATTGAATGCTCTGCATATATCTCTGAGGTCAAGTTGTTTGTATTGTTTAGTTCTTTGATGTCTTTGTTAAATTTCCATCTAGTTGTTCTGTCTTCATCAAAAGTGTATATTAAAAACTCCTACTATTAAAATAGACATTTATGTGTGATAGAAATGAAGATTGGGAAGTGTGATGACAGAAAGCTTGTAAGCCCACCTTCTGCCTATAACTAATTGGATTTACTAAATGGGGAAATAGAATCTGCCTAGGGAAATAGCCTTCTTGTTAAGTTGTTGTAGAGTATGAAGCTGTACATGGAATTCTGAGCCCTACTGAGAACCTTCTGAGTTGGGATATTCCCACTTGAAAACACATGCAGACCAACCGAGACTTCTGGGAGACCAGAAGATTTTTATTGAAAGACCTGCAGGAAAAAAGCAGACTGATTGCTTTGGAGGCATCAAGGAGAGAAAAGTCAGTCCATCAGGGAAACCTCCTTCTAGTACTGGAGCCCATGAGAAATATAATATGCTCACTGGTGACCACTTTGCTCTACTTGTGAATAGAAGTGGGGTAAATGCAGCAGTGAAGACATGGCCTGAGTTTGGCCATGTTCTATTGGTACCCATTGACCTCGAGATGAGTAAGAGAAGAGAAAAGCCTGGCTAGTCTGAACTTTAGGAAGATGTGTGAACTTTTGAGACCATGGACAAATGAAGTGGCTGGAAGTGCAGGAAGGTATGGGTGAACTGCCAAACTCCCAGATAGAACCCATTTGACCTAGCTAGCTGACCAGAACTTGAATGGCTAGCTGACCAGAACTTGAACCAAGGAATATAAAGATTCTTGATACTGAGAACAAGTGTAAATTGCTACAATTTGACACTCTAGATTTTTGCCTATAAATGCAGTGACTCAGAAGTCCAACCGGAAGGAAAGGATTCTTCATAGCAAGTAACAACCTTGTTTCCTCAGTGTATTGGGTTGAAAAGGACAAGAAATTTAGCATTGCCTGTCAAAATTAGGGGCGCTACAAAGGCACGAAGTGGTTGACTTACAAGCTTTCATGAGAGTGCTTAGTTGCAGAATGAGAGGGGGGAAAAAGAGAGAGATATAAAAAGCAGAAAATGGATAAGAAAACAAGATCCTTCAATATGCTGTCTATAAGAGACATATCTAAAAGATGGAGACAGCCTAAATGCCCATCAGCAGAAGAATGGCTAAGCAAACTTTGGTACATATACACAATGGAATAACATAAAACGTTGAAGAATAATGATGAATCTGCTAAACACCTTACAACATGGTTGAACCAGGAGGACATTACGCTGAGTGAAATTAGTTGATCACAAAAGGACATGCATTGAGGCCAATGTTGTAAAAAAGTTTTTTAAAAAATCTCCTACTATTATTGTAGGGTTGTCCATTCTTTTTTCAGTTCTATTAGAGAGTTTGATTTATGTATTTTGAGGCTCTTTCATTGGGGCATAGATATTGATTATGGTTATGTCATTTTACTCAACTGACTCATTAATCCTGATCTAATGTCCTTGTCTTTCACTCTGTTTTTTGCCTTAAAGTCTATTTTGTCAAAGACTAAAAATTTTTAGTCCTGCTCATTTTTTTTTTTTTTAATTTAAGGTTTTTATTGTGGATTGAGTGAAAGTTTACAGGGCACATCATCAGTTTCACATTCAACAATTCATATAACTTGTTTCATTA